GGGATTGGGTGCGGCCTACCTGGCTCTGTGTGCGCTTTTCGGCTGGGAGTCGCGGTGGTATGAGTCCGGCCCACACTCGGACCCAGGAGCGCTGCCGCTCCCGGAGAACTGGCTGCCTGGGCGCAAGGCGCGGGGGGCTGGAATGTAGCTGCTTTGAATTAAGATATACTATAATTGTACAATACACACCAGACTCTGAGATGGTATAAAAATAGTATAAAATATTAGCAAATTTTCTTATGAGTTAAACTTGAAATAATATTTTGAATATACAGAGTTAAATGAAACATATTACAATTAATTTCAGATATTTCTTTTACTTTTTTAAATGTGCTTGCTAGAAAATTAAAAATTATACTTGTAGCCTGGATTATACTTCTGCTGGACAGGGCTGAATGTCCAGTAGAGGGCTAAATTCTATTTGTTTTACTTTTTAATTCATACATGCAAAATGTTTCAGCTTGAGAAAATGATAAAGAAGAACAGGTTCTTTGTTTTTATTTTTCATTTTTTTCAGGTGCTTAAAGTACTGTTAGCACTTGCTTCATTTCATCATATACTTGATATGAATTAATTAAAAAGAAGATTTGTTTTCATAAAACTCTGAGCATCTTTTAGATTGCATCCTAGATAAGTGTGTTTTGATTATGAACAGAATGTTATTGTTATTAAAAGTATTCAGCTCAGAAAATGTGCTAATGAAAATCAGAATTATTTTAATTCTATCATGAGCTCATTTTCCCAATTGCCTCATTTTATATTTCTAAAAATGGAAATTTACGACAAGCAGCAGGGCAAATTTCTTCATTAATGTTTTTGTTTCCTTCTATAATTTTTGTTAATCTTGAATAACTAGGAGAAATAGCAGATGAATAGCTAAAATTCAAAATTATTACCTTTATTTTCACTACTATTTTGAAATACATTTCTAGAGAAGACTTCCAGGAATAGCATGAGGAACTCTACTTTCACGTAGAGGCATCAGTTGTTCTTTTCAGGCCACGTTTCTTCGTTGCCTGCCTTCCTCCCCTCTTTATTTCTGTTTATCTACTTGCACATTGCTTTTCCATAAGCCTTTTGATAGGAGCAGATACTGTCTTTCTTTAACATTCAACACATCAGTATTTTCTAAGAATAAAGATTTTATGTTATAACATCAGAAGTGATCAAATTCATGAACTTTAACACTGGTTAAATGCAATTATGTATTATCTAATACATATTTAAATTTTGCTGATTGTTCAGGGTCCAGTTTAGCAGCATGCCCAGTATTTAATTGCTTTTTTCCCCTGTTTCTTTTAATTAAGAACAATTTCTAGCCTTCTTCCTCTTTTTTCTTTCATGGCTGATATTTTAAAGAGTTCAGACCAATTTTATGTTGAGACAGCTCAGGCTGGCCTCGAATTCATTGTGAGCCTCCTGCCTCAGCCTCCAAATATTGGGATTACAAGCATGCACCACCATGCCCGGCTTGAGACCAATTGTTTTGCACAATGTTTTTTTTCCTAGTGATGAGATGATAGTTATGAGCATTTTGAGAAGAATATAAGAGCAATACTGTGATCTCAAGCATTATGTCAGTAGCACATAATTTCTTTTTGCCATTTTGGTGATGCCTATTTGGTTGAAGTGAAATTCATTATGTTTCTGCAATATAAAATTATAATTTTTCCTTCATAATTAATAAATGATCAATAGAGAGATCCTTCACTAAACACCCTGTTCCTTTTCAAGCTTTTACCCATAATTTTAGGTTATCTTGATGTTTCCTGAATTAATTATACTATTTCATATTTTTTAATCAAAAAAATATATTCCAAGAGATTCCATGCAGTAGATATGACAATACAAATGGATTCTGATAAGCAGATCTTATGGGAAATGAAAAAAAAGTGAAACAATTATACTTTCCTCCAAAGATTATTATTTTGGAAAAATAAAGCTACTTACATACAAATGTGTTATTCACAATAATATGCAACTGGTTTAGGTAAGGTTCCAGCTTCCATGTTTCAGTGAAATTGTGTTATGTTAAAATGAATTAATAAGTATTTTAAAAAAATAGGCAAGGACTTTCTGAACAGAATGCCAGTTGCACAGGAAATAGCTCTGAGAATCACAAGTGGGATCATATTAAATTAAAAAGCTTCTGCACAGTAAAGTAAACAAGAAACAGAGTGAAAAGACGACCTATAAAATGAAAAAAAAATTGCCAGCAATTCCTCAGAGGACTCATATGTAGAATATATAAAGAACTAAAAAAAGAAAATTAGACCTCCAAACAAAAGACCCAGTCAAAAAATGGGCAGGTGAAATACACAAACACTTTACAGAAAAAGTACAAATAGCCAGTAAATATGTGAAGGAGTGCTCACCATCAGTGACCTTTAGAGAAATGCAAATTAAAACAACATTGACATTCCATTTTACTCTAGAAAGAATAACCATCATCAAGAAATCAGATAATAACAATGCTGAAGAAGCTGGGGAAGGGGAGGAAATCTTGTACACTGTTGGTGAGAATGTAACTTAGTACATGAAAATTAGCATGGAGATAAAAACAAAAACTAGCAATTCCATGTGACCCAGGTATTCACCTTCCAGGTATCTTTCTAAAAAAATTAAAGACCTCATATTACAGAGATACATGCCTATCCATGTTTATGGTAGCACAAGAAATAATAGCTAAATCTTAGAAGCAGGCCAAATGTCCATCTACAGATGAATGAATAAAAAAATGTGGTATTTATATACCATGGAGTACTATTCTGCCATAAAGATAAACTTGAGACATTTGTAGGAAAATGGATGCACCCTGAGACTATAATTTTAAGTAAAATATATCAGACACACAAGCTTAAACAGCACACTGTTTTGTTTTGTTTTTTGTCTTTTCTTCCGGTATCAGGAATCGAACTCACAACCTTGTGCTTGCCAGACAGGTGCTTTGCCACTGAGCTAAATCCCCAGCCCCAGCCACTGTTTCTGTATGAAAACCCAGTGTAAAAATAAAGAACAAAATAAAAGATAGATAATAAGAAACAGAGAGACAGATCAGTCTCAAAGGGGAAGGTGTTCAAGAAGTGAAAGGAGAGGGAGGGGGAGAATGGATGAAAAAAAACATTGGGATGTGTTATGTGCACAGACCAGCCCCATACGTGGAATGTAAATGTTATGGACTGCAATTATGTCCAAAAAAAGGAAGAGGCTCAAGAGATGGGTAGAGTTAGGGAAGAGGAAGGAAAGGGGATGAAAAAGGAATTAAGAGGCCTTGTGTACCTGTACCAACTTCCCATAAGGAATGTAAATAGTGTGCACTGCACATATGTACTAATAAGCTAGTAAAAGTCTCAGTATTAATTTCTAATATAGAAAACATTAGTAGATACAGCTCACATAAACCAAAACTGTGAGGCATTCAAGAAGTTCGAGAGTATAAAAGAGTCCTGGACTGGGAGTATGGCTCGGTAGTAGAGCATCTGCCTGGCATGCAGGAGGTCTGAGCTTAATACCCAGCACTATAAACTTAAAAAAGGAGGATAGGTTCCTGAGAAGAAGAAAAAAAAAATGAGAACCATTGTTCAAGACCAAATAAAATGCTACAGTCTAGAAATTTATTGGGGCAGAGGCCATGAGAAAGAATTGGAACTCAGATTACTAGATTAAATCTATCATACAAAGCTTTAGACAGAAGCATCTTATTATAGGCCTGAGATTTTCCATATAACACCCTTGTATTTTAGAAATAAAAAGTGTAGTACTTGAAGGGGAAGGAACATGATGTCTTGAAATTTGCTTTAAAATAGCACAGTGGAGATAATCATGGAAGTGATGGTGATAAAAGTATAAATGAAATTACATTGTTAATTATTGAATTTGCATGGTTAGTTCTTGGATTCATTTTTAAATTCTCTATTTTGAGAACTTAACATTTTTGAACATTTGAACATTTTCAAAATAAGATTTCTAAAGGTTTCATCTCTAGATAAACTTTTTAATGTGATGAGCTTAAGAGAAAGTCCGTTTAATTGTCTGAGATGTCATAATTCTCTAAAATTTGCATTAATTATAGCTGCTTGGATTTAGGTAATATCTTTCTTCTAGAGAATTCAAACTCATTCACCTTGGCTGGTTTTTAAGGCATTAATATTCATTATTTCTTTGGCCTTTTGAAATACCTTACAAAAGTTTGCAAATTAAAAACAAAGACATTGTATACACTTCAAAAAACTTCATACAAGGACAGATACTTCTATTGCATTTTTCAGAATTAGCAATAGTATAATAAATGCTGCTTGGAGCCAATTGTGTAATTCTCATTAGCAATGTAGGCTCTGAAATCAGAGATTTAAGTTTAACTTCTGATTCTACTACTTTAAATACTTATAATAACATTATCAATAACAAATGCTAGCAAAGTCAATCATTTATTGATCATAATATATGACCAGCTAAGCCCTTAGACTAGTTTTTTCATCAAGATCTTACAATAAATGTTACTCTTGCCTAGCAAATAACCTGCCAAAAATGGTATCTGCAGAGGAGTTGATCAGGACTTTGAAGCCAGGGTAAGAGATTACCATCCTTGCTGTTATATTGCCCTTAGCTTTAGTTTCCTATTTTATAAAATAGGAATAAAAATAGGAACTATCTCATAAGCTTGAGAATTATGTCAAGTAATATAGACAAAACATTGGCATAGTGATTGGCACATAGGAAAATAAGTACCAACTACTGTTATTTTCAGTATCTATTTTTCATTATAGATTAGAATAACTTTCTTAGAATCATCACCTAGGAATATATAAAATCATGTGGATAGTCAAGCACAAAGTGCCCAAGTTTAATAACTCTCCTGAAAGGGTAGCCTTTGGTACATATGCACTTAAAATATGTCTAGTCAGAATTGCGATCCGGGTGTAAAACACATAGCAGAATTCAATGGTCAAGGCGAAGAAAATTATAATATCTAACTAATATTTTTGATTATATGTTGAAATAATACTATGGACATATTGAGTTAAAACATTACTAAAATTAATTCCACCTATCTTTTAAAATTAAGATTGCTATTAGAAAACATAAAATTAAATTGCAATCTCATTTTGAGTCCGCAGATGGTATGAGTCTAGAATTTGGGTTGTTTCGTAAATGGTGATTCCTTTATGAAGCTTTTCTTCCCTTTGCATCATAGGCTGAAATACTGCTGCTTTTGGTTTGAGTCATTTCCTGCATAGCTAATACCTGAAATACAAAAGAAAGAAGACATGTTGACCTACACAGCCCTTGTATTTAGGGCGGGCTGGCTTTCAGCAAGAAGATGGCATTGTTTAATTATCATCCTCACTGCTAAGTGAGGAAATTCCATGTGTATTATTCTATTCCAGTAGTATATTCTTATTGTTCAAATTATAGTTTCAGGAAAATAGCTGAGGAGATGTTAATGACTCTTGATTTTCAAAAATAAAAACATATCAATATTTTAATGGTTTTGTGACCTTCCTATTGCTATTATTATCAACATAATTACTCATATTAGATATTGATTAATATAGAACAGTTTTATCCCTTGATATTTTAGTGCAGTTTTTTTTCACTATGTTCCAAAGAAATACATCCTGTAAGAGTCTATAAGATTTTGATTTCCCTACACCCTGGTTTGTCTGGCATAATCCCAATTTAACTCTGTTGCCCTGACATATTTATTAACATCTCTCCCTTACACACTCAAAAGTGTCCAGTTTGGACAATAATTATATGATCTCCTTTTATAAGATTCTCCTTGATGAAATAATGCCTTGGTCAGGTAAGTTTGGGAAATGAATCACACTCTCTTCCCCTCTTAGAAATTTACAAATTCAAGCATCAAAAAAAGTTATCAATAGACTTGTTTGATATAGCTTAAATCCGTGATTCCCAAATCTATTTCACAGTGTAACTTCTTTTTTTTCCTGTAATACATAGTCACATCCCAAAGAACACACTTTAAAACAGTGTAACTGTACTTAGAATTTTTCAAGGCCAAGCTTTGGCAAACAGATTTTTACTTCAGGAAGAGAAGTTACAAATTTTTATCACTATGTCGGTAAATTTATAATCTTTGTATAATAAACCTCTGACTTTTTCCAAAGCGTAACAGTGACATGAAGAGATAACTGTTGACAATGTTTTTCTTCAGGTCATGGTCAAGAAATTTGAGTTTTAGCCCTAAAATTCAGATTCCATTCCGTTAGTTCTAACCAATACTCAGTATTTACCTCCTACGTTAAGCACTGGGCTAGAAGTGATAATGCAAAAGCAGCTAGACATGACCCTCACCTTCGAGTTACACTTGTGGTTTGCCTTCTCCAGGCTGGAGCATTTTTCCAGCTTTGATCGATGAGGGGTCCTTTGTAATTGCCTTTCTAGTTCTTGCCGTTTTAATGGTATTCTAGCAGTGTCAGTGCGTTCATCTAGTGGCTGAGTACCCATGACTAGAACACAGGTATAAACATAATGCAAGAAGCCTTTGGAAGCTTCAGCACAGCCACCAGGGGGCCCAGTTTCAGAATACTCTCACCTCCTGCGTCTTCCAGGTGGGAGTCTGGCTGGGTCCAAGGGAACAAATGAAATCACCGGTCCCAACTTTGGTCAGCACACTGGGAAGTGGTGGGTCAGTCATCCGCAGGCCGGAGACTGTCTAGGCCCAGCTCCAAGCCAGAGCACCTCAGCCCATGGGAAGGGTAGGCACATCGGTGCGGGTAAACAGAGGAAGGGTGTCCTGGCTGAGGAGGATTTGACCTTTGTGAGAGCTGCTCAGAAGATGCCGTGAGTCTAACAGGATTCCACTACCTGTACCTTACGATAAAGGAAAATGTGTTAAATAAATAAATAAAGTCTGGTGACAACGCCAAAGGTGAAAGTAGAAAAGGCCTGAAAGAAGCTTCTGACTGAGCAGGCCAATGGCCAGAGGCCTATGGTTCAAGGAGCATTCAAGCGTGGTGAAGAGCCCTCAAGCCCCCGAAGGAGGAAGCACATTAGGACTGTTAAGGAGGAAGGGACCAAAGGAAAAAAACTCTCGTCTCCTGTCTGCAGGTAGAGCCCTTGGTAACTGCAAAAGTCAAATATTGAATAAAACAAGCTTTCAGCTACTAAAGAAGCAAGACCAAAAGATGATGAATGAATGAATGAATGATTGAATGAGTAAAAGCAACCCAACAACAATAAAGCATGGAGAAGGGATTGCTTGATTCTCCCCAGGGGCATTGAAAAAGAGTTCCCTGAGCAACTTTCTGTGGATACAACCGCAAAGAACATTAAAGTCCTGCAGACACATAAAGGTTATAAGTATTTCAGGGCAGAGAATTATTCATGAAAATCAGCAATGTTGGAAAATTCATGTAATCCCATACTCTATGCTGCTGGGTATAGGCTAAAATGATGGGGCAAATAAAATTCAAAAAGATACGTGAGAATCAAATATAAGGGTTATTTAAATATTATTTGAGGAGATTGAAAAAATGACCTATGATTTTAACCCCTATGACTTTATGCTATGGGTAAGTACATTCAATACTGGACAGCCAGCCTTCTTAGAGTCTAAAGAGAAACTTTCATAGATGTGTTAAGGTTCTGCCAAAAAAATAAAGTGTGTTGAATCACCACTATGCACAAGAGCTTTTGGAATGCCCTTTCAATAAAATGATTGTCATAAACTATTTCAGCAACAATTTCCTCTAAGCCAAGTGTACTGATGCATGCCTGTAATCCTAGCATTTGGTTGTATCTTTTTTTTTTTTGTACCGGGAATTGAACTCAAGACCTTGCACCAGGCAGATGCTTGTGCCACTGAGCTATATCCCCAGCCCTGATCCCAGCACTTGGGAGGCTGAGGCAGGAGGATCACTGCAAGTTCAAGGCCAGACTGGGCTGCATAGTGAACTCAAGGCCAGCCTGAACTATACCATACTCTCTCTCTAAAAAAAAAAGCATTTCCTCCAGAAAGCACTGGCCACTGTGTGTGTGTATGTATGTATGTGCAATTCATGTAATAACAATAGTTTCCTATTAGTATAATTAATTTTCCTGGTATGTATCGTTTGGATTTTGCATTTTTAATACAAGCTATTTATGAAAACAAGATGTAAGGCAAATCAGTTTACAATGTAACTTACAGATTAACCAGAAAGGCAGCACAGACTTTTTGTTCACCACAAAATAGCAATATCATAATTAGTTTTTAAAACCCTTGGAATGCTGGAAACCTAGAACCTTACATTCTTTCACGAGTCGAGAAGCTGCTCAACTCAGCTAAAGAATGTGACACGAGTCCCACACTGACCTCACTTACTGGGGAGCCAAAGGAAAACAGAAGCTTAGCGGTTTCTCAGCTGCTGACAAGAGAGTCCTCGGCCGGAATTATTTTGGAATACTCTTACTCTTGCTAAACAAGGGAATGAGACAGGTCAGAAATAGGAAACCAGGAAGAAAACAGGCTTCTCAGCATTCAAAACTGACGACCAGGGAATTACTTTGTGGTTAAAAATCCAGTGTTTCAGCAACTTTGTTTAGGAATGTTTATACCAAAGGATATTCATTGCACAGATTTTGCTACCAATACATTTGCTCACCTTACCCTCGGCAGAGCTTTTCATTTACATAACAGCCATTGTTGAATTCCTACCATCTTGCTTAATGAAGCTCTGTATCATTTCTAATTTTTTAAAATTATTTTTTATTCTCTTTAATTGTTGATCAACCTTGCATTCTCACATCTGGTAATCTCTGCACAGCTTTGTAAACCATATGTGCTTTGATTTGCACTTTCTGGTTTTCATGACAGCTTTCAACACCCCTGAAGACAAGGCGCCTTCCCGGATGTGGGAAGCCTGGCAGTCCCAGGGTTGGATGGTGTGCTTGCTGCTCTTGTCACTGTACACATCTAAGAGTAAGTCAGGCTCTGAACCGTAATGCCCACACTAGCAAGCAGAAGCCTGTCAGTTGTGTCAGAGGTCCTTATATTGATTATAGCGAAGACACAAATAGTGTTTTTCTAACTTAAACCAGATGACAGTTTACTTTTATCTGTTTTAATACTCGTGTCATAAACAATTGTTAAAAAATTAAATGTTTATTTCTTTGATCCAATCAAAATACTGCCACTGGGATTAGATACCGTAATGCCTATTATGTGAAGTAGTGGAATGCATATGAATTGAGATTTAGAAGGCCTATGCTTGTTTTTAAAATTTATTTACTGTTTGATTAACGTGTCTAAGCCAGGTGAACTTCCTCAGTTTTAGTTCCACCACTTCATTTTATTTTTTATATATAGATACATTATTTGTAAAACATTTCTTTTTTCTCTATTTTTTATTTTAAAGGAAAGAAAAATAAACAATAAAACCAATGGTATAAAATTTCAAAACAAGATTGTAGGAGAGTAACAATGATTTGATAACAATGCAATGATAACATTGCATATTATCTTTAAAGTAGTTTCTCATACTACAAGATATAGGTATGAAAAACTGACCAAGCAATATAGGCATATACCTTTCCTTTCAATAAACTAATAGCAATTAGTAGTATAACTGTCTTAACTATCATATTTATTATTTATTATTTTTATTTTTTTTATTTATTTATTTTTCCTTTTCCCTTCCTTCTTTTCTCCTTTCCCCATTCCAGTTTCTCTTTCCTTTTGAGCATTTTCTTCCCATTTCATAATATCTATTGTATATTTTGGGTTTTATTTACTTTTTCAGTTTCTTACACTAGTGAGACAATATGATGTTTGCACATGTGAGACTGACTTATTTCACGTACAAGTATGGACTCAACTCAGTTCACCATTTTAAAATGGGGGTGATGATATCTACGCCACAGTGATTTGAGGATCAAAAGAGATACTGTGTATGTCAAAGCATTTCATTAGAACAGCAATGTGCTTTGTTGCTTTATTTCCCATCCCTTCTACCAGCGTCTTTCTACTTCTCCTTAACTTCTTGAAGTTCATTAAATTCAGGGCTGGATTAAGGCATGGGACACAGGGACAGTCTCAGCTGGATGCCAATCTATAAAAGTGCTACACAGTCTTGGACTGCTTTGAAAATATGTTGCCAGCAGTGCAGGCTTTGACTTGCTATCCTTGGCAAAATGTAAGATTTCAGTCCCATTCCTGCCCAGAAAGGCAAGCCTTGGGCTGCAATAAAAATACAAAACAAAACTCCTCTTGCTAGAGTCGCGTATCTTTTCTGAGCTTTCTTGCACAAAAGCAGTTACAAACAGCCAAAATTCCAAGGTCCAAAATGCAGGCCAGAATACTGTTTAACAGGGACAAGATTCATTTAAAAAAATTTATTTTTATTAGTACATTTTTGCAATACTTAATGATTACATTCATTGTGGAGAATTAGTATATGTACATGAAAACATTTTAAGGATTCATCTTTTAATTCAAATTTTTAATCTCTGAATGTGCTTCCAGATAAGTGGTCCTACTCGATTTTCTTCAGAATATTGACTATGCTTTACTGAGTAGAAGTCAATCTATAAAGGAGTTTGTTCCTATAAAAGCCTTTTTATTAATGTAATTTTTCATTTCCTGTAAGTAGATGTTCAGCAAGTAGTTTTGGTTTTTAAAGTTGTGCCAGATCGTTTGCTTGTCAATGACGGTCAGATTCTCTTGTACTCATTAAAACTTTTTCACATATTCTCACCTCCATACATGCTGTCCTTACTCTACTTCATTCATTTCTCAGCTTTTGAGTCAACAAAAAATCAACTCATCTATAGTGGTTTCCTTTCCCCTTATTTAAATATAGGGAAATATAATCTGACCTGATTCTAAGACATTAGGTTTTTTTTAAAAGGCAAAGCAAAGCAAATAGAATATTAAAAGTATGTGTCAGCTTTGAGACATGTTCCAAATGAGAAATACTAAAATGATAAAGAAGTTTTAAAGTCTTGAGAACATGGTGGTCACTTTTGCTTTTGAGAAACTCTAACACACAGTACCTTTCTGTTCTAGTGCTTACCACGCTCTGTATTTATGGGCCTATTTCTACTATGACCACAAAGGATATGAATTTGGGGTATGAGATGTAGGCAAAACAAAAGCTATATTATTTTATTTTGAAAAATGAGAATATATTTTACTTTGAACTATTATGGCAACATTCCTATTGCTAGAGAACCCTTGCTTAGATTGTGCAAATTTTCAGGGACGTTGTGTAGTTCATTTTATATCAGAATGGAAGGAAGAATTCTTGGCTTGGGTTTGTTCTGGTAAAGTCCATGTGGCCCATTTGAAGGTAGGCTGCTTTGCTGTTTTTATAGTATCCTTCCTTCATACTCAGCCCAAACCACACTCTTCAAGGCTCACAAAGCCAAATTAATAGAGACTGAGTGACCAGACACTTAATGTCCTTCTTTTCAGAGGTCCTGTGATCAAATGTCTTTCTGAGTGGAAATAAAACTTAAATCCTTGTCCACCTAGAGGCATCACCACTAGGACCAAGACACCAACCTTTCCACGTCTAATCACCTCGATCCACTCTGCTTCTGAGATGAGGAAGTATTGTCTTCCTCAATGGGCCTGAATCTTAAACAGTTTAATTTTCTTTCCAAAGAAGATTGTGTTTATCAAGTGGTGAAGGGTGAATGGCTATATAAGAAAGAGTAAGTTTTACCTTTTCAGATGCAAGACAGGGAAAGCAAGCGAGCACATTTATCAAGGGTGAGGCAACCAGAGAAAACTAGAACAGTGCTGAACAAAAACCAGGACCTACCAGTAATTTGGTTGTATGTCTGCTTTCTCCCAGCAGACACTGGTTTCTTGAAGAAGAAGCATATTTCTTCCTGGATGAACTCCCAGCACTCAGTGGTACCTGTCATTTACCAGCAAATATTGGCTTAATGTCTGAATGTATTGTGAGTTATTATTATTGTGTCCTATAGGACCTGATTGTAGGAACTTTTCAGTGGATTAAAATATGAAACTATTTGAACTGAACTCCAGAACATATTTGTTCTTCAGCATAACATTTTGATGAATTTCCCCCCAGATGTACAGGAAATATCAGTTGTTAAACACACTAAATTGGAATTTTAAATTTGCAAGATCTAAAATAGATCTCAGTTTTGCTTTTTCATTTGAAAGTTGTTCTATCTTTTCACGTCACTGGCTATTCACATGTTGTGAAGTCAGTAAAGAGTTCTGAATTTAGATGTAAAGGACATACTGTTCATTGAGGCACAGAAATATCTTTGAAAGTGAAATATTTGATGTGTACACAGATCCATGCACTTTGCTTTTGTTACTTATTTAACAGTTAGTTTAAATCACTGATAAATATCAAGAACATTTCATGTGAGAACCAGGAAGTTCCTTGGTTACTGTAAATCACCAGTGTATAGTTCAAGACCTGTGCTATTATACTACCTCGGTTCACAAAATTTCCTCATTTAAAATTGTTTAGGTAGCTAAAACTCCATGCTGTTACTTTCTGACCTTTAGTGTCTAATCAATATTCACCCCAGATCACTACCATGCAAAAAAGCTCATAGTCCCTCTGCTGGGAATTACTATCGCACGTATTACAGCACCGATAAAAACAGAAGAGCAGAGACTCTGCAGGCTGAAATGACCCACTAGGGTTTATTTGTTCAGCACATGTTCATGAAGAGATCTGCAGTGAGAAGCTGTGATGGGCTCCAGTAAAAATGATGATTTGTCAGTGAATGCTATCTTCAAGTTACCCAAGTGCTGTCCTCGAGGTAGAAGCCACTCAGGTTCACATAAAGTTGTCATTCAGGACAGGAAGTGATACATCGGGTAAGGGGATCTGACGCAAAAGAGGTAGTGACCATGTTCAGCTAAAGGCACTGGGCATTTCAGTGCAGGCATCATTAATCTGTGCCTTCAAGCTACAGCCTTTTTGCACAGGGTGCCTGGGAGGGAAGGCACTGAGAGGCAGGGATGCCTGGAGCAGAGGCACAAGCTCGGACTGCGACAGGCAAGCCAGCCACCCCTGCCAACAGGGAATGGTCTTGGTTGGCACACTTCCCCAAGGTGTGTGGAATATGCATATTTCCTTGAAGTAGTAGAAATCATTCTTATGAAACATGTTCTTTATTATTTGCTAATGATAGGAAGTACTCAACAATTGACCGATAGAAAATATGTGGAGAATAAAATAGTACATTCGGTATATTCTGAAGTCCTTTTTGAATGCTTTCCACATTTTTTGAGCTGATCTAAGTTCTTACTTCAAGGCAAGTGTTGTATTAAGATTTTGCAGAGAAACAGAACCACGCGTATACATTTATACACATATGGACATATTGCACATGTATATAGATATAGGTACGCGCATATGTAAGTATACACATCTTATTGGTTGGAGAGAGAAAGTGAGAGCCAGAGTCAGAAAGAAAGGAAGACTTAAAAGCACTGGACCACATGATTTTGGGTGCTGGTAGGGCCAGTGGTAAGGTGAAAATTCCCACAGGAGTTTATATCACAGTCTTGAGTCTAAGTCAGTTTGGAGGCATAATTCCTTCTTTTTTTCCATCGAGGTGGGGGAGTCTTACTCTGTTGTCTAGACTTGTAATCCTCCTGTCCAGCTTTCTGAGTAGCTGAGACTACAGGCACTCACCACTGCTTCCAGCTCAGGGTTCCTTCTTTTGGTGGGGATTTCAGTCTCTTTAGGTTTTCAACTGATTGGATGTAGCATTCATACCATAATGAAGTGACATCTGCTTTACTCAGCGTCTCTTGATTTAAATGTTAATCTTCTCTGCAAAATAGTATCACAGCAATATCTATACTCAGGTTTGATTAAACGACTGCATATGATAATCTAGTCAAACTGACACATAAAATCAGCCATCATAGCTGTCATAAATCACGAGGACATGAAAATAATGAAAAGGAGGGGCAGTAAAAATCTTTCATTTATTTATGTAGCTCACTGTATTCTATAAGCATTTTTTGTATACATATGTTAAATAAAGGAGCCTATTACTATCAGAAGCTTTGAAATGGCAAATCTGAGGGATAGAGAAATTAAGAATTTTGAAATTTACAGAGCTAAATGTTGCGCAGTATGTTTTCTGAGACATTATCTAAAAATCTTCCTGTTCCACCCTCCATTAGTTGCAACCTAAATTTCTACAGAATTTATTATCTGCTGCCCTCTTGAAACTCAGCACAAGGTGCATTTATGTTTCACCTATCCAACTAAATTTAAAACAACTCTATTTTGTCCTACATCTAATTACATATTAGTAAGCTTTTCTTAAAGAATGAAACCTTTTATACATCCTGTTTAAGCTGGGCAATGATTGCTTATACAGCTTGTGTTGACAGAATTTATGAATTCATTTTCAAGGCATGTTGGTGAGCTGTGCTGCAGTGATTCTTGTGAAATTGGAAAGTTTGAAAAGCCTAACTTCTTCAGACTTCAAAAGGCTTATGACTTATACATCATGTTCAAGTTGTTTGATTTTAAATTTTGACTACTTTGTCTGCAAGAAGAGAATGATACTAGAACTTCAGCAAAGTGTTATGTGAGTAGAAAATGTGTCATTGTCTGCATAAAGGTGTAGATAACACCTTAGCATTCCAGATGCAAGAGATATCATGCTTCTTAATTTTAAAAATGGATCTATCAAAGCACAACGTACTAGGTGCAACAGTAAATCCAATGTGAATTATCAACTGGGGTGATCCTCCTTGTAGTTTACAAAATCCCTGGGTCTTACATAATTCTAGAAAAATGGGAGAAAAAGGCTTCTTGGTCCATAGGAGCAGCCATTTTCCTTTGGCTCCATTTGGATGATAGATACAGAACTGCTTTGTACAAAACCACAAATGTAGATGGTAGGTCAGTCTTCCTAATGATCAGTAGTAGTTGACGACTATTGTTTGCCATCTGCTGCAGATGGCCTCCTTGGGGATGCTGACATCGTATGCCCTTAAAATGCTCCTCTGTGCTGCTTCGTCCCAGGTTTCTTACAGTAGGTGCTGATGACCTGACATTTAATAGCTCTCGCCTACACTGAAATATACATTCCCATACAAGGGCTTGTTATTCCAGAATGTTAAGTTCAAGTACTTGAACACATTCAAAATCTCCCCATATATTCACCAGAGAAATCAAATCAAGGGTTGAGCCTCAATTTTCATCCCCTTTGGAGTATTACTTAGTTTAATTCTTTAATTGGCTGATGGCTTTGCAATGAGCCCTATTAACTTTCCCTCTGAGGGTTCCTGACCTCAAGGGCATAGAACTTTGGCGTTACTCCTTCACTGATGAAAATACAATAGAATAAAAACTCAAGCTGCTGATATTTTTCAGTAAATCATATCATTGCATAAGCCAATCACAAGGCATATAGCAATTGCTCAATTTATGTGCTCTAGTTTACTCTTATTTAGAAGTAGTGCCTTACACTATTATAGTAAAAGTTTACTTGTTTATTTGTTGTGCTCCATTGAGCGCTCCATATCTTGAAAAACTTTAAGGTATGGGGGAAAGATCTAGGTTTTGGACTCAGACAGCTCTTGTTATTCTTGGCACTTCATCTTATTATCTCTGTACACTTAGGTAAATTACTAAGTTTTTTCTCTATAAAATTAATTGTGAAGGTTAACTGTATATATTCCATATTGCTTTACCTGCTAGGAAATACAAATATTCCACAAATGTGATACTATCTTAAGTTTCAAAACTTCAATCCCAAAGATGCTGGACTAGTAACAGTTCAGTCCTTTGGTAGAAGCCTGTACTGGAGGTCCCAAGGGTGGGATTTGTGCATGGTCCTTGTGTTCTCTTGTCTTCCTCATCTCTTGCTTGTCTCCCTCTCAGTCTCATAGGAAAACTTACTGAGAGTCTCATGATCAGATATAGAGCCATTTACCACAGAACTGTTGGGTCCCTAGAAATAGATCTGTCACTCCTATGCCACCTTTTTTCTTCCACTGCACACCGATGTGTAGGGAGAAGGGAGTAATATCAGGCACAGTCAAGTGCAGTCTTGTGCTGCCATGATCCACTGCTCCACCTGGGTGTCAGCCAAGCTTCCAGCTCAGGCTTGCTCTTCCAGATCTGTATTCCAGGCTCTGAGGTCACTTTCTCAAGCCTCACCGCCTGCAGGGAATCCCTGTCCCATGGACTGCTTTGTTTATGCCTGATCACAACAGATGGACCAGTTTAGAGATCTCTTCTACACTTATCCTATGACCATGCAAGCAATGTATATCTCTGGGCATATATTTTTGTGTTTCAGAACTTCTACGATGGTAAATAAGTTCCTGGAAAATTCTATAGCGGGAAGTTGTGCTACTCAGATGATATAAAAGAGCTCATGCCATGCTTCAAATTTGATCAGGTCTAAAATATTCTTTAATGCAACTAGGGCCTGCTACCCAGTAAGCTTTCAGTAAATATAGTTCTTTTTAATCCTTTTTTTTTTTTTTTCTTAAGAACATTTGATATTTGCTAGCTGGTTGACTTTAAACATATTTTGTCTTTTAACAAGCTATTTTTATGGTAATACAATTTGAGGGCCAAAGTTGTCTGGATGATGAACTTGGGAGCTCACTAGCAATGTAGCCTGTACAGCTATAATCATGACTAGGTTAATCAGCATTATTACTCATGGGATATTTAATAGGTACTCAGGAAAGGGATGGCAACACACCATAGTGGGATTCACAGCTCGGATGCCAAAACAAGATTCCAAACAGAGCATAGTAAGCCGGTTTCTTCAGAACTATGTGATGGACCCATAGAAAAGTTCGCTTCATTGAAAGTGTAAAGCAAAGACAATAAATAATGTTCTTCTTCAGGATTTATGAGAAAGCAGAAAACCAACCAGTTGCAAACTATATTGCAAGAAATCAAGGCATCTAAAAACTTACTCTTAGGTGAACTTTGGCTTTTCCCCATGCAAAGATAAAGACTATTTATAAATCCCCATAGGCACTAAAACCAGAAGCAACAGTTCGAGCACGGAACAGTGGAGGTCAGGTGGCATGGGAGAACTGGAAGTCATTAGTAGAGCTGGAACCACACAGGAGGTGCACCCAGACCTGGTCAGTGCTGAAACTGTTCCTTTTACCTCTCTGATTTAAGGGTTCTCACAAAGTAAGAGGATCTAGGAATTGATATTTTAAATAAAGCAAGCATTTATATGCTATTTATAGTAAAAGCCTTCCAGATAGTAAATTACTTTAATCTTTTTTTTGGATCTTGGACACTGTGAAATCATATGAGATGTTGTTGGCTCCATTTATACACAAAGAAACTGAAGCAAAACCTTTCCAACAACACAGAGCGAGTGCTGATGGAACCAGGATTAAAAGTCAGGTGGTTTGGTGCCATAGTTTGGTTCATGAATGTCTCCCAAAGGCCTGCGTACTAAAAACTTGTAGTACCATTGGCAGATGGTGAGGCCTACTGGAAGGATGTCAGGTCACTGAGGAAGTATATTTCAAGGGGATCCTGTGACCCTGGCTATTCCCTGTCACTCCAGTTAGTCCCCAGAATCCCTGAGGTGACTAGGCCTTCTTTACCATATGCTCCAGGTATGAGGTATTAGGCTACCAAAGAAAAAGGCCAAGTGGCTATGGACTGAAGCCTTGCAACTGTGAGGCAAAATAAACTTTTCCTCCAAGTTGATTTATCTCAGGTCTATGTCAAAGTAATGGTAAGTTGACTAACACATCTGAGTAAATATATAGTTACAATGTAACCTAGTAATTCCATTCATAAATGTAGATCCTGCCTAAATCCTGCCAATATTCATAATAGCTCCAAAGTAAAAATAACCCAAATGTCCATTGACATATAGATAAACAAAATGGAATATTACTTAGCCACGAAAAGAAATGAAGCTCCGATATGTACCCCAACATTGACCCTTGGAAACATGTCAAATGAAAGTCACTAGTCACAAAAGATCATCCCTTCCATTCATATAAAATGTCCAAAATTGGAAAAATCTATTGACATAGATGAATGGCTGCTTAGGATGGGAGGTATGGCACATGGTGGGGGTGGCAGCTATGATCATAAGAAGATCTCAAAGAAATAAAAATCAAATAAAATCAGGTAGTTGATCAAAATCTAAGCCCTCAACCTTTAGGCTATGCCATCTTTCCTGAGTTCAGAAGCGCACTGACTAGAACTTCCCTGCTGTATGTACTCGGACACGATGAAGCACGTATGACTCTGGTACTCACATCGGGTCAAAAGAAGCCTGGCTTCCTGAGACTCAGTGACGGATGAATGGGTAGCAAAGGAGGCTTCAGGATTTGCTGCTTTGGTTATCCTTACACCCTTCCCTTGGGAAAAGTATTTCTATTCTCTCTTTGCCATTGAACATCACTGAAAAAACTGGGAGAAAGCATCAGAGAAAGAAAGATTCCAGAATAGCTCTGAGACGTTGCCGTTCCGTGTTCGTTAGCCTTTCAAAAATGGTCAAGTAAAACTCCAAACTTAATTTTTCTAGGGGGCAGTGTTAAAGTTCTGAGAAAAATATCAGCTTGGGTACTTGGAAAGCCAAAAACTTGTTTTCCGTGCCTTTGTCAGAAATTATCATCCTTAATGCCTGATTTTGGCCAACAAGTAGGTGTGAAGGGCCCCCTGCTGGCCACTGCCTAATATGTCTGTAGTAAGTTGGGGGCTGAGCTAAGGACTTTGGCGGAGTGTTTGTAACCTTCCTAAGACGATGGAGGCCTGGGGCTCTCTGCCGAGAACAGCCTCCGTTTGAAGTCTCACCCTGCATTAAT